GGGCAAATAAAACGAAATAATATCCAACACGGCGAATTGCTCAATGTAACCCTCTGTATGGCTTAAGTTGATTGTGCAATCTACACATGTATAATGTTTTATGCCATGTTTGCACAGAAGGGGGAGGAAATGGGGATGCAATTTGATGTCGATGTAAGCTATATCCCTCCGTGACTTAGCGTGACATTGGCCCGACACCACATCGATCGTCACAGTGTCTCCCTGTGGGGTGGCCAGACTTGTAACGGAAATAAATTAATGTCCGACTGAAAAATAGACACTGGGTGATTAAGAGTTGAAAAGTTCACAAATTCAAGCTGAACTCGTGCCTCTTAAGGGCTGGTGGGGCACCTAGAAATCGTGTTTGGGGGTCAAATTTTGTAAATTGGGTTTATTACATATTATAGTACCTGGACACTTCCTGAACAATATCCAGAAACGTATGTAAGCCTTGCTACACCCTAAAGCTGTGTTTTTGTGTCAGGTTTTTCGGTGAAAGCACATGTTGCCTATCCTTTTCTTACCTCTATCGGCTGTTTTCTCACAATTTTATTTGTTCACATATTATTCCATTTTTCTGCTCTGTTTCTTATTCAATTTTAATGTAACTTTCACAGGATACCAACAACACCTAGTTCTAAATTTTGGCTTGTTGAATTTTTGAATAATGGAGTAGGTTTTGATTTGTGGGCTTAGAAAGCATGAATTTTCCATTCTTTTCACTTGTTTTGCAACATCTCAATTGTAAATGTCATAAAATAAAAACTAAACATATATCAAAAATTCAACAAGCCAAATTTAAGAGCTACAAATGTACTGTTGGCATGCTAAATTATAAGTGAATCGGTTAATAAATAAGGAAATAAAATGGGATTGAAAAGGATATACAAAATCCAATATGACCGCCGTTTGCATAGCAACCGATTCACAATATACTTTTTGAACTATTGATTTAAAATCCCAAATAACACACGATTTCCCACAGCAAATATCTGCACTCTAGACCTTGTAATAGCCAAAATAGACCTCAGGTGCCCCACCAGTCCTTAAACGATGTCTAATCAACTTAAATGGCACTAAGATTTTTAGTGCTAGAAAAAGAAAGATAAAGAAGAGGAAAAATAGATTTTACTGGAAAAGAAAGGCGCAATACGTATTTATTTATGGGTAGTCTATACATATTAAACTTGTGAAATTTCGTCACTTTGGCCGCCTAAAACTTAGCAACCACTTAACTTTCGAATTTGACCAAATTAGTGGTGGTTCAGAATCATTTAAAGGGTGCACAGTTTTATTGAGGAGCCTGAAGTCACCTGTAGTTTAATTTTAAGTTTTGCATTAGTTTCGTTTAGATTTAACCTTGGGAAAGTCCGTCTTCAAAGACGCCATTGTTAACAAGTGAGGTTTCCTGTTCAACAGCCGTGCGCACTGCTTCCACACCTTTGAAATTCTGGAGTGTACAACCACGAAAGCGGAATAGAGAATCAATCTATTACATCGCTAGATATAGATCTATATCTAAACCTTCAAATGTTTTGCATCTCTCAAGATTTATTGCTCCATTCCTGTAGAGTGCCTGTAAATATAGTAGCATCTCTCAAGATTTATTGCTCCAGTCCTGTAGAGTGTCTGTAAATATAGTAGGCCAATGACTTTCAGTTGATGTTAATGCACCGATAATTCCTTTCAACGAAAGGGGGCCCTGCTAGTTTGATATATGAAAGAAAATCGATCCCATTGTTATTAATAAATTACATCTATTCGCAAACTTGATCCCCGTCTATAACAGGATTCGGTTATAATTATTACTGTTACTGGGACATCACGTCGGTCCCGGTAGGTTTCATCTGTTTGTTTGTTGTTGTTTTTTGCCGGAGCCAATACGATAAGCCTGCGGCAGATATGATAAGTTAATGAAAGCTGGCATTTAGCGAATAGTATAGGCTAATGAGTGAGCATGGTAGCGGTGTGAAATGTGATGTATGTAATGTGTAACAGATACAAATCTAAGCGTTCTTCGTTCTTCCCGGCCGCAGCTTTGAAATTGGTCGCAGCAAGCCAATGGTAAGCTGCCGTGGCGGATGGAAATAAATCGTAATACTGGCCTAGTTGTTACGGCTCGGGCAACCATCGAGTGTGGTGTTCTTGGCCCAGGCCACTAAATCCTAGTTCCTAGTTAGCTGGCGGTACCTAGGCAGTCTGCCCTTTATTATGGATGGCATTCTGACAACTTCCTGCACTTAGAATCTAATCTGATCGTCTTGTCTTCACCTTGCCATCAAATACAATGCAGGGCCTACCTAGGCGTGAGAGTGAGTCTGATGTTTATGCTGCTCTTTCTCACTTGAACTTTCACTTTAAGCAAACCTTTGCGCAAGTCAAACATCTGCTTTTAATCTATCATTTTCCTTTTCTTTGTCATCTGTCCCCAACAAATTCCTTCGGCAACGGGAGAGTGCGGTGGCAGCAGGTTTGCCTACAGAACTTCTCTTCCAGCCTGTCCCAGGTGATATGCAGACCCTCCCTCCTAAAATCAAAATACACAGAGCAACACTGAACGATGTTGATGGCTTTAAGTATCTTGGCAGTACACTACTTCAAATGTCCGCATCAATGCAGAAGTACCTTTACATATGAATAAAGCTAGTGCATCCTTTGGAAGACTAAGAACAAGGGTTTGGGACTGCTGTGGTATTGGCACAGAAACAAAGTTGAAAGTCTACAATGCTGTGGTCCTCCCAACCCTGTTTTATGGTGCTGAGCCATTTACGGTGTACTGAAGCCATGCTAAGCAGCTTAGTCATTTTTGGTGACGTTCAAATATAATCTTACACCTGGAAGGGGGGAGGGGTCTTTGGCTCCTGTAAGAAAAGTGTAAGAAATGGGGAGAGAGAGAGAGAGAGAGAGAGAGAGAGAGAGAGAGAGAGAGAGAGAGAGAGAGAGAGAGAGAGAGAGAGAAACCAAAAGTGAAGGCTTTTTGGACTTTACACACAAACACAGTTATCCCATGTACGTGAACGTCTACACCATTCTTTCATCCCGGCTTTGGCTCTTATTTAAAAAATCTTTAAAGACACATTTAATGACATCCTTTTTAAGTCAGTAGATTCATGTTCAGTACATTGTTATATAAATGTCTATGCATCCATTTATGTATTTTGTGAATTGCAGTGTATATATTATTTTATTCTCATTTCGTGACGATGTGTAATCGTGTGCGTGTGATAAGCAAGTAGATGTGTGTGTGTGTGTGTGTGTGTGTGTGTGTGT